CTCTTTCAAGCAACTTTGTGCATAAATACACAAACACACTAATTCTAGTACATGTGCAGAAGAGATTGTGTCTGCTGGGTCCGCCTCTCACTTTACAAAGGAGAAAAGGCTGAGTCCCAGAGAGCTGGGGTGAGAAGCTCGGCTATGGACCCTTCATCAAGTGAAAAACCAAGGGGCTGGGGGCTGGCTTTCCTACCATCTGGTCTCCAGTTCTTTAAAAGGGCACTTGCTTTGCTTAGAGAATCAAACATCAATACACAGTATTCCAATACACCATCATCTCCATTTACACTGTAGAATTTGTGATTATAAAGAGGCACCCTCCACAGACAATAGGGTAGTGAAGGCTTGGGGTGGGGGCAGGCTAGAGGTGGTCAATGGGGAAAAAAGGAAGATGAATGAATAAATTAATGAATGAATGAATGAATGAATAGGCACTCTGGGTTTCATAAAAGTCACGTCAAGTCCTGCTGTTCCTGCATGGAAAGAAGGTGAGGCAGCCAAGTGCTGCCCCTGACCCTTCAGCCCCAGACGGCTGCAGGAGTCAGCCTCTGGGTCCCATCCTTAGTCCAGGCAACTCACGTTCACAGAGGCCAAATGCAGATGGGCTCCCAGGACTCTGCCTGAGGTCAAGGAAGGAGACCAATGACCAATCAGTGCAAACTTCAGGAGACAGAGGGACGTCTCTGTGCCTACAATCTCAGGAAAGCATTGAGAAGAAAAAGAGCCTGTCCCATACCTAGTGCTCTCCAGCAAACTTATGCAGCTGCCTGTACTACAGGCCAGGCATCCAAACATCAATACACAGTATTCCAATACACCATCATCTCCATTTACACTGTAGAATTTGTGATTATAAAGAGGCACCCTCCACAGACAATAGGGTATTGAAGGCTTGGGGTGGGGGCAGGCTAGAGGTGGTCAATGGGGAAAAAAGGAAGATGTATGTAATATTTTCAACAATAAAGAATTATTTAAAAAAACAAAACAATAAAGATTTAAATGAATGAATGAATGAATGAATGAATGAATGAATAGGCGCTCTGGGTTTCATAAAAGTCATGTCAAGTCCTACTTTTCCTGCATGGAAAGGAGGTGAGGCAGCCAAGTCCTGCCCCTGACCCTTCAGCCCCAGATGGCTGCAGGAGTCAGCCTCTGGGTCCCGTCCTTAGTCCAGGCAATTCACGTTCACAGAGGCCAAATGCAGATGGGCTCCCAGGGCTCTGCCTGAGGTCAAGGAAGGAGACCAATGACCAATCAGTGCAAACTTCAGGAGACAGAGGGGCGTCTCTGTGCCTACAATCTCAGGAAAGCATTGAGAAGAAAAAGAGCCTATCCCATACCTAGTGCTCTCCAGCAAACTTATGCAGCTGCCTGTACTACAGGCCAGGCATCCAAACCCAATCTGATTTCAAAACACCTCAG